CCAATGAGTTTTTAAGAAAATAATATCACATTATAGTTCTTGTAATAAAGAAGCTAGAGTTATAGAGGATTTACGAATTTCGAGCAAAAATGTGGACTTTTTTTTTTTGTCACAAATATGGACTTTTAATTTATTTTTGGAAATCTCCACTCAATTCCACCATTGAAGAAAAGTCAAGCGAGAATCTTTAATTTTAGCGGTAAAAATATTTACTTTTCTTTTATTTTCCTCAAACTTTACTTATTTTCTTCGCAATTTCTTCATTATTTCCTTCTTGTAATATTCCTCCCGGCAAAAAAAAATCAACGTTGAGATAGAATATTTAATGAAATTTGCATGCTTAAAACATGAAATAAAATTCTTGAATTAATTTACTATATATGATTATATATTAAAGGAAAGAAAAACACTCTTTAGACGAGAATTATGGAATCTAATTCTTTCGAATTTGATGGTTGATATCCAATACAAACGCACTAATAAAAAAAAATGAATATAAATTAATTAAGACCTTGATTTTTAATTTAAACGATGTCCATAATAATCGTATGTTTATCTTCTTTCGATAGAGAAAAATGTTTAAACAAATATAGTTGGCTTTAGAATGCAACAAAAAGAGAATAAGATGCGTGCACCATACAATGTTTCATCAAGTAAAWAAKAAAAAAAAAAAAAACTCATTATTATAAGTAGAAAATATAAAGTGAGATTCAATCAAAAAGATATAAAGAAACATTAATGTCCATCGTCATGTGTTAGTTCTCCTCATTCATTCATATAAATTAAAAAGACCCCATATGACACATGCATCGTGAAGCCATCTTCCTTACTTTTTTCTCTTTATTTAATTTATTTTTTTTTCTGTCGGTTTTCAACTTATAATTTTTAACATAATAAACAAATATATCATTCATAGAACATATTCTCTTTTTTTCCAATATAAATACCTCTAAAAACTAGACCTAACATCTGGCATAAATAAAATCTCGTAGGTGGCAAAAAGATAATCAAGAAAGTGCCAAGTATAACTTTCTTTTGTATGCATGCAAATGCATGATAGGTTCGTTAATAATGAATGATCACTACAAGATATATTTGCTATTACATAAAAATTTGCTTGTAGCTAGTGATTTAGTTTTGCCAAAAAAAAAAAACAAGAAAATACGAAGCATAATTTCAAGTGTGCATGCGAAGCCATGATAGGTTTTTTTAATATGGATTCATCATTCACTACAAGATAAATTTGTTATTAATAGAAAAGTTTAGGTTTACAATTGCTAGTTATAAACCTAGTAAATGATTTCACGGCAAAAAAGATAAAAACATGGAGATTATAAAACATATAAGGTTTTCAATCCGCCGCTCAACATTTACCCAAAGGTTAACGGAGCAGGCGAAGTGATGTCGATGTTGGATGTTCATCCAGGATCATTTGGCGCAAAGAAGTTGTGAAGGCATGAAACAAAAGCCGCAGAGAAACCAAACCCGAAGCAGTAGAAGCCGTTCAAAGAGGACCAAACAAAGAGGTGTCAACGGAACGGGTTTCAACGAACTCGATCACTAACTCCCTGGTAGTCTAGTGAGAACGACTAGAAACGCGAATCCATGAGCTACCTCCAAGAAGAGACCTCACACCAAGAAGCGAAAGGAGCAAGTTTCCCCTACCAACAACCATGGCTAGTACAAAGCAAGATATAGCCAACGGAAACGCTCCTAACCGCAATAATCTTACTAGCTCCTCTACAGCACAAATCAAGTCGTACAGACCTCTGCACCTAACCAACAACTAACCTAAAAAACCAACCTCAAGAGAAGGACACAACCAACAACAGATCGTGCCCAACCAACAAGTACCAAAATACGACGATGTAGACCAAAGAGACAACTAACAAGCTACCATCGGCAGCTAAGCTATAACTCATTCTACAACACCGCAAGAACTAGGGGAGGGAAAGCGACAACCAAGGCAATACCTCACAGCTCGAGACGCAACCATGACCTTCAATCAGGAGGAGAGACCGTTGTCCACAGTAAGTCCAGCTCAAGAGAGGCCAAATCAACGAGCATTATCGACTAGGCAAAGCCAAAATCACCAAACCCCTGGGACTATGCACTGCAACAACCTCAAGACGGTCGGGGCTAAGGGAATGAGGCCCAAAATTGGAGAAGAAAGCCTCAGAAGAAGCTAATTCAACACCGCAATCGAGATTCACCAAGCCACGAGCCGAAGAGAAGACAAGGGGAAAGAGTGGTGGAATAAAGTCCGGTCCTCCACAGGCCTCCACCTTCTTCAATAGGTAGAAGTCCGACGCTGGAGAAACCCTTGCACGACGGAGCATCCCAACCGCAGGTCGGGAGCTTGCAAGACCAGAAAAGTTGAAAGAGGATTCGTCACGGCTAACGGACGCCGCTCCAAGCAGATTGAATCCTCCTCCAGCAGAGGAATTACGAGGTCAAAGGGAGATCTACGGGGTAGATCTGACGGTCAAAGAGTCGTGAGACGAGGCAAGGGTTTGAGCCCATCACCGGACGATGACTCTATGGCTTCGACAAGCACATAGGCGACGACGGAGATACCTTTGCGCTCCGACGCGGCCGTCACGACACGTTTCTCCGACCACTCGCCATGTGATGCAGTACCGATCAAGAAGACGAAGGAGGGCACGATCCAAGGGAACCGTAGCAGAAAGGAGGAGGACAGAGGCCCTCTCGCAGCGTTGGACGAACCCGGCCGCCGGAGAGGGGAGCAGCTCGGCAAAGGCGGAGTGAACGAGATGAGTTTTTTGGGGTTAGAATCGCCGCGCGTGTAAGCCACACGCCCGATTCTCTTTTTTGAAGTCCTCATTTTGTTATTACATAATTTTTTTTTTGTTTGCTTGTAATGATTAATTTTTCACATTGGACAAACATTGATTCTGTTACGAAGACAAAAGTAAGCAAAGAGACGATATCCAAAAGCCATTGCAAGAAGAATCCAAACTTCTTGAAGACCTCCTTTTAGATTTATTGTGTCGAATGCTGATGAGCTTTGCAATGTTCTGCATCCTCCATTACTTCCACATTCGTAAAGTATACTGAATACTATACTGAATACTGAGTTTTGAGAAGTACTTTAACCATTCCTTAAATTTGGTATGTGCTGCATAAAATATACAAAACAATGAGTTTCATATCATATGAATATGATTCAGTTAATGGATTATTTGGCGCCTATAATCGCTTTAGAAATATTAAACCTTCTAGTTTAAAAAAAAAATATTTTTATACATATATAGGTGATTCTCCCGCGTACACGTGGGTAATTTATCTATAGTTTTTTT